GGCTAAAAGGTCCATGAGAGTCTCACAGGCATAGAAAGCCATGACACGTGGCAAAAAAACAATCTAAATGAAAGATCCTGGTGAACAAGACCCCAGCAGAAGGAACAGGCCATCAAGGAGAGAGGCGCCTTTCTCTGAAGGGAGGAAGGAACCTCCACTGTGATATGGCCTTGACTAAACAAATTCAGAGTCGGTGAGCTCAAGGGGCTTCCGTAGCCTAGACAACTCATAGCAAGAGTCTCGGGTGATTGCTGACGTCATAAATAAGAGTGCCAATTGTTAAATCAACAACGGGAGTCACTGGGTACATGCTCCCCACATAGGATCTCTGTCCTTAATGTGTTCTACTATGAAACTTAAAAACAACACTACTAGTCGAACAATACCCTATACCTTGTGCGGTTGTGTGAGTGCAGCCTGTTGAAATCCTTGCTTAGTATATACTAAGTTGATCTTCAGTATATGAAGGTAATTGAAAATGAAACTCGATGAAGGGCGGGATGGGAGAGGGAGTGGGAGAGGAGAGGGCCACGGGAGGGAGGGAGGTTGGGGGGGGGGAGCCACAACAATACAAAAGTTGCACTTTGTAAATTCTCATTTATTAAAAAAAAACTATTTAACAAACAAAAAAAAGAAAAAAAAGAGAACTTAATACTTTACCCTTTTAGTATTTTTTATGTTCTACTTAAAACTATTGGTTGAACTCTGTAATTAATACACAATTACTCTTAGGTGTTTAATTAATGCTATAACTAGTACTCAAATAGTATTTTACACTTTGTGTTTCTGTGTGGGTGCAAACTGTTGCAATCTTTACTTAATATATGCTAAATTGATCTGTATATAAAGATAATTGAAAATTAATCTTGATGTGAATGGAAGGGGAGAGGGAGTGGGAGAGGGGAGTGTTGTGGGTGGGAGGGAAGTTATGGGGGTGGGGAAGCTATTGTAATCCATAAGCTGTACTTTGGAAATTTATGTTCATTAAATAAAATATATTAAAAAAAACAATAATAATTCTTCCAATCTCTGATCAAGGAATAGCTTGCCATTGTTTGCATCCTCAATGATTTCTTTGATCAGTGTTTTATAATTTTGCTGTAGTAATCTTTCATTTATTTGGTTAAATTTATTCCTAAATATTTTGGGTTTTTGTAGCTTTTGTGAATGGCAAATGATTTCTTAACATTTCAGCAAGATCATTATTGGTGTATACAAAACCTATTTTTGTATGCTTATTTTGTATCCTGTGACTTTACTGAATTGGTTTATTCTAATAGCTTTTTGATGCAGTGCTTAGCTATAAAACCATGTCATCTATAAACACACGTATTTTCACTTCCTCCTTTCCAATTTTGTTGTCTTTTTTTCTCTTCCCAAAACAAATAACCTAGTCCCACCAAAGTTACATCGTATTCAAAAAAGCTTAATTATAATTTTGTTGTGAGGTTATACTTTTCAGAATAATTAGTACCATACATCCTACACTATCCAAGAACTAGAGAGAATCATTGTTTAATGCATGTAAAAATAATGCTTAAAGTAGATATTAGGCTATAAACAGTTCACACTCTTTGGTGGAGTTTGACAAGGAGGACTACTGGATTTGATTTTAGCTCACATGGTTACAGATCTATTTTAGAATATTTGTATCTTGAATGAATTTTGATGGTGAGAATCCAACCTATTCTGATGTTGGCTTCCCATATCTTCCATTTGAACTATGTTCCTACAAGTCATAATTCTAGCAGTCTGAAATAAACTCTTTGAAAAGAAATAGGTATATCTTTCTCCTGTTGTAAGAGGAGGAGGAATTTCTCAGTTCTTACTGTCCTTTAATATATTCTTTCTGCCATGATTTTATCCCACTCCATGCCATCTCTTTCCACAGGACTGTAAAAATTTCTCCCATTTACAGGTCCTCTTAGTCCTTTCAGCACATAGAACTTTACCTTTATGCAGCACCATTTAATAGTTCTAACAGTTAGGCTACAGTATTCTGTTTCTGTGAAGGGTCTTTTTCCTACTTGATGTTCTCTAACCTAAACATTCTCCAAGGTCCGGGACCCATGAATTTGTAAATGCAGGGAAAAAAAAAGATTTAGAATCCCTGAAAATATTAAATAGACTGTTTTGATTTGTGCCATTTTATGGATATTTAAGTGTATGTATGATTCAAACTTAGCCAACAGTGTTCTCCCAAAAGATTTTTAGAGAAACTTGTTATGAATAGATGATTTGTTGTTAACTTATCAGCAGAGTATGTATAAATGGTTTCTTCTGTCTGAAGGATATGAACTGTGTTCTCTTAGGTAAATATGTACCCCACTTTCACTCTTTTTTACACAACTATTCTGTTTAACAATCTTTATTCATTTACTTTAGGAATGTCATAAGAACAACGTAAGCTCTTTTCCGTGAATAAATGGTTTCCTACACTTTCTCAGTCAGTTTACAAAATTAAAATAAAATAAGTTCTTTTGGGGTCTTAGTGTGATTTCTTCAACCTATTAGCACATATTTAGTTCTGTAGTTAACATATAAGGATACTTCAAAAAGTTTTTGGGAAAAATGGAATTAAAAGATAAGTTTATTTGGGGGCAGGCATTTATTTGGCTTAGCAATTAGGACTCTGGTTAGGATACCCATGTCCTATATCAGCGTGTGTGCATTCAACTCTTGGCTCTAACTCCTGATTTCAGCTTCCTGATAATGCAGACCCTGAGTAACTCAAGTAGTTGAATTCCTACTCCCCAGTAGGAGAGCTGGACTAGGTTACTAGCTCCCAGCATTGCCCCCCACCCCAGCCATTGTGGTCATTTGGAGAGTGAACTAACAGGTGGGAGCTCATTATCTCCTACCCCATCTTTCTCTGCCTTTCAAGTAAATAAAAAGAAAAAAAATTAAAGTTTGTATTACAGAAAATGTTGAGGTTTAAACATAGTTTCTTCATAATTCACATTTTCCATGAATTTTTTAAGACCCCTTGGATATAGCATAATGTTAGGGCTTTTAAATGTTCCCCATCACTGGATTATAAATTCCTTAAAGGCAGGAGCTTTGTGACTTGTTCAACACTCTATCATTCCTGACACCAGCTTAGAACCTTGACTTGGAATAAAAAATTTTTTATGTAGAACGTAAAATGTTATTTTTTTTTAACAGATTTGGTTCATTTGACTTGCACATCTTCTAAAACTGCAAGAGATGATTTAGAACCAGTTGTGCAGAAGTTGTTTACTCCATTTACCGAAATGGAAATAGGTAAGAAAATAATTGGTGATTCACTATGGAAAGGTGATGTAACCATGACACTCTTAGACATCCCATAAAAGTTTTTGCAACCTGAACTGCAATGTGATGTATTCAACAACTGTCACATGTTTTACTAAGATTATTGAGTACAGTGTCAGCTTAAACATGGGGTGAAATGTTTACTCTCTAATAGTAAAGGAAACACAAACACACATACACACATGTATAATTAAATGCAATAGTATGCATTCTAAGTATACATTTTAATGTGCACAGAAGAGACTAATAAGAAATCTCTCAACTGATTTTGGCGAGACTATGGACAATTTTATCTACATAATTATCTACATAATCTACAACAAGCATAAGAAGTATTCCTTTATCAGAAAATGTTACCTTCCTTTAAGAAAAAAAGTTGATTCAACCAATAGATTAAACTACTAATTGGCAAGTGTAGGAATCCTTTCTGATAGTTGCCTTTATCCATACATACTAGTCATGTGATAAATATTTAGCTTCAAAAGTATATATGATATTCCTGGTGATGAATGCCTTTCAGCCATGAATTTTTAAACTTTTCTCCCCCACTTAATTGGGTAGCTCTGATAGCTGCAAATGGAGTAGTTATGGCATATTTTGTGTGTAAGTGATGAAAAAATAGCGTGATGGATCTTCATTTGCATAAAGTCAAGGTGACTTTCATTACAGGATTTACATGTCTGCTTGAATCTTGGTCACCTTTTTCCATTGATTGATATGTCCTCATTTTCTTTGGATATCACGATTATTCAGAGAACTGTCCATTTACTCCCACCTTATCAGTTTCCTTTTAGCTCACCTAATATGTATTTTGTTTTCTTAATGCAGAGATAGAGTGTTTACATTTATGTAAGAAGACAAACTTGCATTTTCAGTAGCTAATATCAATATAATTGTTTTTGTGAGCTGCCCTGTTAGAGTTCTCTAGTTTGAAAACTTCTTTAGTTTGGAACTTAATTTGTTTTATATTTATATTTTCTTCTTTGAAACTCTCATGTAAATGTTTGGATCACAAAGTAATGGTGCATGGTATATTTCTAAACCTAATATGGAGTTATAGTTTTATTCTTTGGTTTTCATTACATCTAAACCTTGCTTATAAAACCCTCAGTGTCTTCATCACTTCTAAAATTTTTCATAGTTTTTCTATTGTAATTCCATTGTGTGATGCTTCCAAATAGTAATACTAAATTTGAATCTTGTATCATTACTCTTCACTTCTTAAATGCACTTAATTTTCTTTTGTAAAAGAATTAAACTGGTAGAAATTACATGTTCATTACTTAGCCATCTTAGATTTTTAAACATTAATCTTAACAGTTAAAGTGATCTCATTTTGAAATGATGTATTGTTTAGAACCTGAGTGAAATTCTTTAGTAAGAACTGTGTGTTCAGAGGGGTCCTCAGGTGCACCGAGGCACTGAAAAGCTAGTTTTCACTGACACATAGGCCATTTTATCATCAGGATGAGGTAGTGGTCATATTTTAATTAAAATGTCAGAACAAATACTGTTGGAGTTATTGAAAATGAATCACCAGATAAAGTGAGCACTGGGCCATGGCAGGTCAAAGAGGCAAAGTCACCTGGAGAAGAGAACTCAATTCATTTTCCTGCCTAAATGAGGAAGAAGGAACTTTATGAGCAATATGAACTTTTAATACATTAAAGCACATTCTTCTCTGTAGCAAAAGCCCACATTTTCACAGATTGATGGCTTTTATTATTATATTTTCATTATTTGACCATCATATGAGACCTCATGCTTTAGAACATTGTAAATATTTTATGTTAAAACATGTTCCAAAGGACTAACATTATTCAGGCTTATTTTCATTTGAGTTCTTCATTCTGTATGGTGCTGTTTCATAAGTCTTTGTGAATATCAGTCTAATCAACTTGCAAGGAACTTCATTTCTTAGAAAAAATGTTATTTTCATTTCAATTGCAATATTACTTTGACAGTGTCTGAGAAATTCTAGTGGGGCTAGATATTTCCTCTTTTTCACTTTTAACATATCAGCCAGAGCTATTGAAATGTGTTGTGGCTCATGAAGCAATGGCACTGATACTTCCACAAGCTTTATCTACCAGGCTTCTTTAAGAACATCAAAGATCTCTAAGCCTTCTCTACTTCTTGATCCAAAGAAATATCAGTTGCTTTATGTTTGATGAGCAGGTGATAAAATTAGTTACCATTCATGAATGCACTAATTCTTCCAGTTCTCAGAATATCTTTTAAAGCACTGAGAAAGATTTACATAGTAAGCATTATATTTAAGTCTCAATAACAAAAATACCCTGGGTATTTTATTACTTTACCCATAAAAGTGAGGTTTTAAATCTGAATTGAAATGAAAATGTCATTAGTAGTATATCTTTCTTTCTTTCTTTCTTTTTTTTTTTTTTTTGACAGGCAGAGTTAGAGAGAAAGGTCTTCCTTCCGTTGGTTCACCCCCCAAATGGCTGCTACAGCCGGCGCTCTGCGCCAATCCGAGGCCAGGAGCCAGGTGCTTCTCCTGGTCTCCCATGCAGGTGCAGGGCCCAAGGACTTGGGCCATCCTCCACAGCCTTCCAGGGCCACAGCAGAGAGCTGGACTGGAAGAGGAGCAACTGGGACAGAATCCGGCGCCCCGACTGGGACTAGAACCCGGTGTGCCGGCGCCACAAGCTGAGGATTAGCCAAGTGAGCCACGGCGCCGGCCAGTAGTATATCTTTAAATGTTTAAAATATAATGTCATAACTACAGCATCTTTTTTTTCCCACCATTGTGTGGGGCATGTCGAGTTTTCTCATTCCATCTCATCATTCTTATCGAAAAATACTACTTACAATCAGGAATTCCCCTTATAGGAATAGTACTGTAAATACTGTGTGAATTCCTTTACACACACATACACACCCACGAGATTTAATCAGGATAATATAGTATTACCAAAATAGTTTACTCTTTCCCTAAATATGGCATGAAAACTGTCAACCATTTCTGACTTTTATTTGGTGTTCCATAGTTGCTTTGCTTCTGCCCTCCTTGTTCTGTACTTACTCCAGTTTAATTTGCCAAAATCTTATTCTAAATTACCTGTTACTTCTTTAGTCCTTCACACTAATTGAATGAAATGAGCTATTGCAGAAAACTAATTGTACTGCTGGCAACATGTGATGAACTCTAAGCCAAAGCTCAGCAACTTTAATATTTTTTGACAATTGTATGCTTCACAACTATGTGGTATTTTTTTCCAGCCATTTCTCTGCCTTCTAGCTGACCTCAAAGAACGATAAAGCAATTAAATGTCTCTTTGAAAGATTTAAGGTGAAGGGCTGATAACTCTCTTGTATCCAGAGCATCTATCTTCAGCCTCTGTCAGTTTATCACCTTCCTCCTGTTTCTTTTCAAAGTCTCAACCTCTATGAAATTTCTTTCCTCTAGTTAATCGGATTATTCATTTCTTCAACTTGTATTGTGTTAAAAACCCTACTCTGAGCTGGAACTTTCATGAGATACAAGATAATCTCATCTAAGCAAATTCTTAAAAATGGACTGGATGCCGTTAAAGGCCTTGCAGACCTCAGCCCACTTCTCTGCAATGCTCTCCAAGTCTAGCATCACAAATCATAGGTGGTTTGTTTAAGTATCTTCCCCTAAGATTTAGTGAAACTCACTCACTAATCCATTTACCAAGAACCATATGGTTTTAGCTGTGAAATATGGGTTCCTTATGTTCTTTTATTTTGTCAATAAATAGATTTTGCCACCTGCCACCTAATGTTGCCTACATGAAGTTAATGATACCTTAGACTCATAGATCTTAGCATTAAAAAGGGGGTACCTTGAAAAACTACTTCTACTCAGTTTCTTCATCCTATCACACTGATAATTATGAATTACTTAGAATTAACTAGAAAAATAACAATTGGAGATATTTTATATGAAATAGTAAAATCCTTTTTATCTTGAATTTGAGAATAAGACATTTTTATTAACTGAATATTGCAATTAGCTGAAAACTTCTCTACATTGATTACCAATTTAACAGTAACAGTAATTAATCAGATAATACATACCTTTAGCATTTATACATTTAACATTTTCTAAGATTTATTTATCTGAAAGAGTTACAGAGGGAGTGAGGGAGAGACAGAGAGAGACCTTCCATCTGCTGGTTCACTCCCCAGATGGCTGCAATTGCCAATGCTGGGCCAGGCCTAAGTCAAGAGCTTCATCTGGGTCTCCCACATGGGTAGCATTGGCCCAAACATTTGGGCCATGCTCTGCTGCTTTTCCCAGGTCATTAACCGGGACCTGAATTGGAAGTAGAGCAGTCAGGACTTGAACTGGCACTCATATGGGATGTTGGCATCAAAGGTGGTAGCTTTAACCTGCTATGCCACAACACTGGCCCCTGTAACATTTTCCTTATGATTCACAAAGTGCCTCATGGTCTTTTATAATCTTATATCCATTATTATCAATGTACAGAATTTGAATATTTGTTCATATTCATGCTAAAGAAAACTCAAGTCAGTAAATTAACAGTACATATTTTCAGTTTCTAATCAAAGAAAATTTAATAGTAACATTTCTGAAGGGAGATGGAAAAATGATGATTAAGATAACAAGAAAGAGGCTTTAGGCATTGAGGTTAGTAAGGTTGGACCTCTTTGTAAGCACATCTTTCTGTGATTATACTTGAAAACAACATCAACTCAGAAATTATGTATTGAGCATCTATTTTATTCTAGGCCTTATAGCAGGGAACAAAAGAGAGGAGGGGGAGGTGAAGAGTAAGCACTAAGTTTCCCTTATTTTTGTATCCCCAGATCCTATGTGCGTAACAGATTCTTCCTGTTCAGTAAAGAAGCTGTGCCCAAATTGTTACTCAGTCTTATGATTTCATTTTTGTTATTTGTTGGTTGTCATTAACTTTGTAATCCAGCAGGGCAAAAACATTAGAATGAATCTGGATATCAGTTTTAGTGCTGTACATACTATTTTCTGAGGTATCATTTGCATACTATGTGCTTCACCAGTTTAAAATGTAAAATTCAATGGTTTTTAGCACATTCATGGAATTTGGCAAACATCATTATAGTCAATTTTAGAACATTTCCATTGCCCCCAAAAGAAACCTCATAGCCATCAGTGGTCACCTCCTATTTATGTCCAGTTCTTCCCAGCCCTAGATAACCACTCATTAATTCTTATCTCCATAGATTTTTGGATATGTGTATACTACTGACTTTCTCTAAAACGTAGCAAGTTGATTTATACATTAAAAACATAAAGTCAACTTATTTTCTCACTTCAAATAAGATAATTTATACTTTGATAATGAAGAGAAAAAGCAATCCAAGAGAATATGATTGGAATTAAACTGACAAGTCAAAATAATTTTTTTAAGTCTTGTCTGTGGTTAAAAAGTCATCATTGATTGTTTGGAATATCATACACAATGTACTGAAGTGTGTAGATGCAAATTTATGAACTGTTTACATACAAAGCTCTGCTTTACTGCAATGTCTAGTCATGGATTTGTTGATCATTGGCTACACAGTAATTGACAAGCGTATTGTGTTTTACAATGTAATCAAATTTATTTCTATATTCAGAAAAGGAAGAAGTTGAAAAGCCAAGAATTCTATGGGCTCTTTACTTTAATATGCGAGATTCTTCAGACATCGACAGGAATTGTTATAAAGATTTGCCATCCAACGTTTATGTCTGCTCTGGCCCAGACTGTGCTTTAGGGAATGATAACGCAGTCAAACAGGTAAGGCTGTTGTTTCTCCAGTTTTGTAGTAATAAATTGGGATGTAGGAAAAGTGAGTTCTGTTTCTGGAATGAGCGAAAAGAGACTAGAAAAATAACTTATTTAATAATATCTGCAATTGACCCTTAAATGTTTTTTCCTATAAACTGCAAACCTCTTTTAAATATACTGTCATATATTTTCACTAAATGTAATGATGAAGTATAAGAGATTATTAATGAGTTCCACTACAAGAGTAGGAATGGAAGATGTTAGAAATACATAGTCATAAAAATGAATTTATAATGCCAATATTCTAAAGAAACATTGCTTCTCATTTAAACAGTTGGTCTATTGGTATACATATTTTTTTCTTTTAAGATTTATTTATTTATTTGAAAAGCAGAAAACGAGGGGGAGAGAGAGAGAGAGAGCTTCCATCCACTGGTTCACTCCCCAAATAGCTGCAGTGGCTGGAGCTGGGCTGATCTGAAGCCAGGAGCTTCTTCTGGGTCTCTCACAGGGGTGTAAGGGCCCAGGCACTTGGGCCATCTTCCACTGCTTTCCTGAGTGCATCAGTAGGGAGCTGGATTGGCAGTAGAGCAGCCAAGACTCATGGAATGCCAGTGCCACAGGCGGTGCTTTACCTGCTATGCCACAGCACCAGCTCCTGGTATATAGTTTTGAAATATACAAACTTCTGTCTCTTCAAGTAGGGTATAATTAGTAAGTCGTGCAAGATAAAATTTTTCAGTGGTCTTAATGATTTTTTTTTATCTTGGAAAAGAATAACATAGTTTCTTACAACACAATTCTATTAATGTTTTTGACAAAAGCCAGTGTCACAAAAGAGCTGCTCTTACAGCCACTGAGCAATATGGGAAATCAAGGTGGAAATTTGTAGCAGTGTTCTTGGGCAGGGCAATGAAGAGGTATAAGCTAATATAAGCTGCCAAAAGTGAACTATGATTCCATTAAGCTGAAGATGTATATGAATATCTGAGAGGACTTCACAAAGTTCATGGAAAATGATATTGAAAGATAAGTTTATTTTGGTACAGACCATTTTGAAATCCGTACAGTGTTTATTTTTAAATAGGAATTTTCCTTGAACTTTAAAAAAAAACCTTCATATGCATGGATGTCAAAATCTTAAACCAAAATAAGTAAGGAAAAATCAGAAAATCTTTTTGAGGATAAAATCTAACCTTCACAGGTAGAGCTAGCACATCTGTCTATTGAATTACACAATGGGTAATTCAATGTTGTTCTAAGACCACAGGTAGAACTTTGATTGCCACCATTGTTGGAGATCTCATAGAAATGTCCTTCTTGGACTTTTAATTGGTAATCATAGTAGCAAAGCTTTGAATCATAAGCATGGCCAAAATTCTCTATGTCTCATCTTCAGGGTCTAATGATGATCCTAGAGAATCATGCTCAGTCAATGGCATCAGACAAAAGCAGGAAGTTACATTTTCAATCACCATTCATTCTATGAGTTTAAAGGAATTCAGGATGGTTCAGAATCTTCAAAATGAACAACTCATTTTTACTTTGATCTAATTTTTTGCAAGCAAAAATTGCGAAGAAGTTTTTAGCCAGGTAACTTAGGTCATTTTTATCCCTGCATATGTATTTATTTTTGTAAACCAAACTGAAAGGCCCCTTCAATAACGGCTTATTATACAAGTCTTAAATGTGATCTAAACTGTTTGCTAAATGATTGTAATTAAGGGATAATTTTATCATGCGATAATTTTTTTTTTGACAGGCAGAGTTAGACAGAGAGAGTGACAGAGAGGTCTTCCTTCCGTTGGTTCACCCCCTAAATGGCCACTACTGCTGGCATGCTGTGCCGATCGGAAGCAAGGAGCCAGGTGCTTCCTCATGGATTCCCATGTGGATGCAGGGCCCAAGGACTTGGGCCATCCTCCACTGCCTTCCCGGGCCACAGCAGAGAGCTGGACTGGAAGAGGAGTAACCGGGATAGAACTGGCGCCCCAACTGGGACTAGAACCTGGGATGCCGGTGCCGCAGGCGGAGGACCAGCCCAGTGAGCCGCAGTGCTGGCCTATTATGAGATAATTTGCTTCCCAAGTAGATAACCTTCAGGGGTAAAGTGTTATCACAGTAGAAAACAGTATAAGCTAGATTTGGTAGTAATTATCATGTTATTAAATGTAAATAGTTTTAAATTTGTCACGTAGCTTTTAAACTCTTAGGTTAGTTTTGGGAGAAATGTTATACATATTTTAAAGGGCCTTGATAATCTTTGTAAATGGACAGTTTAATCAGGTAACCTGGTTTCTAACTCTAGTACATCATCCTTTTTTTAGTTCAACAATGATCTTTTATTTACTTATTTATTTTACCTTTTAAGATACACAAACCATGCATTTCACAAATACAAACTAAGGAACATAGTGATTCTTCTCACCTTTCTTCCTCCTCCCTCTCTTATCCACATTCTTATTTTTTACTTAGATCTATTTTCAATTAACTTTACACATAATAAGATCAACTCTATTAAGTAAAGAGTTCAGGAAATAATATGAAAAAAATGTTTCTCAACAGTCAAGACAAGGACTGTTCAAAGTCATTACATCCCAAAAATAACAATTTCACTTCTATAGATTACCTTTTAGGTACTCTATTAGTTACCACAGTTCAGGAAGAACATGGTATTTTTCCTTTTGAGACTGGCTTATTTCACTGAGTATAATACTTTCCAGTTTTTTTTACGACTGTGTAGTATTCCATGATTTGCATATCCCCTAATTTCTTTATCCAGTCTTCAGTTGATGGGCATTTAGATTGATTCCATATCTTAGCTATTTTGAACTGAGCTGCAGTAAACCTGGGGTTGTACAGATAACTATCTCACATGCTGATTTTTGTATTTTAGTATTTTGTTAAAGATTTTTGTGTCAGTGTTCATCAGAGAGATTGGCCTGTAGTTCACTTTCATTGTTGTATCTTTTTCAGCTTTAGGAATTAAGGTGATGCTGCCTTCATAGAAGGTGTTTGGGAGGATTCCTTTCCTTTCAGTTGTTTTGAATAGCTTAAAAAGAATTGGAATTAGTTCTTCTTTAAATGTCTGGTTGAACTCAGCAATGAAGCCATCTGGTCCTGGGCTTTTCTTTGTTGGGAGGGTCTTTATTACTAATTGCATTTCCGTCTTGGTTATTGGTCTGTTTAGGTTTTCTGTGAAGCCATCTGGTCCTGGGCTTTTCTTTGTTGGGAGGGTCTTTATTACTAATTGCATTTCCGTCTTGGTTATTGGTCTGTTTAGGTTTTCTGTGTCTTCGTGGCTCAATTCAGGTAGGCTGTATGTGTCTAGGAATCTATCCATTTCTTCTGGGTTTCCCGATTTGTTGGCATACAGCTCTTTGTAGTAATTACTGATGATTATTTTTATTTCTTTGGTGTCTGTTTTTACATTTCCTTTATTCATCTCTGATTTTGTTGAATTGAGTCTTCTCCCTCTTTTTTGTGGTTAGTTGGGCTGATGTGTCAATTTTGTTTATTTTTTTAACTTTTATTTAATGAATATAAATTTCCAAAGTACAGCTTATGGATTACAATGGCTTCCCCCCCATAACGTCCCTCCCACCCGCAACCCTCCCCTTTCCCACTCCCTCTCCCCTTCCATTCACATCAAGATTCATTTTCGATTCTCTTTATATACAGAAGATCAGTTTAGCATACATTAAGTAAAGATTTTTTTCAAAAAGCCAGCTCTTCATTTTATTTATCTTTTGTATTTTTTTGTTTCAATTTTCTTATTTCTTCCTTAATTTTTTATTTCCTCCTACTAATTTGGGGTTTGGTTTGTTGTGTGTTTTTTTTTTCTAGGTCCTTGAGATGCACTGACAGCTCATTTATTTGGTGACTTTCCAGTTTCTTGGTGTAGGCACTGATTGCTATAAACTTCCCTCTTAACACTGCTTTTGCTGTATCCCATAAGTTTTCTTTTTTTAAAGATTTTATTTATTTATTTAAGAGGTAGAGTTACAGACCGTGAGAGGGAGAGACAGAGAGAAAGGTCTTCCGTCCATTGGTTCACTCCCCAAATGGCCGCAACAGCCAGAGCTGCGCCAATCCGAAGCCAGGTGCTTCTTCCCGGTCTCCCATGTGGGTGCACGGGCCCAAGGACTTGGGCCACCTTATACTGCTTTCTCAGGCCATAGCAGAGAGCTGGATTGGAAGTGGAGCAGCTAGGACTAGAACTGGCATCCATATGGGATGCTGGTGCTGCAGGCAGAGGATTAACCTACTATGCCATGGTGCCAGCCCCATCCCATAAGTTTTGATTTGAGGTATTGTCATCTTCATTCGTTTCCAGAAATTTTTTAGTTTCTCTTCTATTACCCACTGTTCATTTAGGAACATGTTGTTCAGTCTCCATTTGTTTGCATATGTTTGTGAGATTCTTGAGTTGTTGGTTTCAAGCTTCAATCCACTGTGATCAGAGAAGGTGCATGGTTTGATTTTGATTTTTTTGAACTTAGTGAGACTTGCTTTATAGCATAATATATGGTCTATCCTGGAGAAAGTTCCATGCACTACTAAGAAGAATGTGTACTCTGCAACTGTAGGATGAAAATTTCTGTAGATAATCGTTAGGTCTATTTGGTCCATAGTGTCAATTAGCTCTGTGGTTTCTTTTTTGATTTTCTGTCTGGTTGATCTCTCCATTGCTGAAAGTGGGGTATTGGAGTCCCCTATTACTATTTTTAAGAAAGGTGTCTTTTAGGCCAGCGCCGCGGCTCACTAGGCTAATCCTCCGCCTAGCGGCGCCAGCACACCGGGTTCTAGTCCCGGTCGGGGCGCTGGATTCTGTCTCAGTTGCCCTCTTCCAGTCCAGCTCTCTGCTGTGGCCAGGGAGTGCAGTGGAGGATGGCCCAGGTGCTTGGGTCCTGTACCCCATGGGAGACCAGGAAAAGCACCTGGCTCCTGGCTCCTGCCATCGGATCAGCGTGGTGCGCTGGTTGCAGCGCGCCGGCCGCGGCGGCCAT